GGAGACGTGAGCCTTAAGGAGAGTGGTGCTTGAATTGTTTGGCACATTAGGAGTGGCTGGAGGCTCGTATAATAGCTTTTGATCAATACTTTATCTATATATATATACATCTCTGTGTGTGTGTGTGTGTGTCTTGTACCCAAACCTAGGGGTTCAAATTCACTTAGGCATAATTTCCTTTAAGGAGGTGACACTCAAATTGCTAGACACATTAGGAGTGACTGGAGGCTCATGTAATAGCCTCTAGCCTTTCCTCATTGTTAGGCACATCTACACGTGTACATACATGTCTTTTAATGGATTTTAATCAATAATTTAACTTTGAAGGTGAGATTTTCTTAAAGGAATATTACATACAAGCCACTCAACTCTTATATTCAGTACAAATTTAATATTTTAATTTCATTTTTTTCATATATACCAAAATATATATTTATGCATAAAAATGTTTGCCTTAAGTTTTTAAACGTTAACATAGTGCTATGTTCATGTGCTATAAAATTTCGGAAGAAAGGAATATAAAAAAAAATTAAAATTTAGATATTAGCGATATAAACACACACGACTTGGTTGATGGCATGTATGTTGAGTGCCACATTTTTAATGGTTTATTTAATAAAGAATTTATTGAGTATATAACACGTGGATGGGACCCCACACTTATTGGAGGAGTTAATCATCGCCACTTCAGTGATGACACCTCAATCCAACGCCTAAAATTCAATTATTATTGATGGTAGGTTCGATTCTCTTCCAGAAGCTTCTGCCACCAATCAACAGTGGAAGTTTTTTTTTTTTTTTTTCCACGTGGTAAAATGAAAATAAGAAAATAAATTTAAGAGGAAGGTAACTAATTTGTTAGTCTTATTTACTCTTGTTGTTCTTCTTAGTTTGGGGTTTTATTTTGATAGGTCTTTTGTATACATTAGGTTACTCTCGTATTTCTTGGAAGGATTCGTCCTTTGGTTTCGGTTGGATGGGCAGACTTTTTCATCTTTGATGAATGATTTGCATTGTTGCTACTGACGAAATGCTCAATAATTCTTATCTCAACCCACTGCTACATGATGTTCCAATCGGTGCTTGGCTGTGTTATTTTTGTGTAAAGAAGAATGCGGATTTAGGTGTGTACAATGTGGCGGATCAGATGGATTCTTTTTGGGACGAGATGGGATAGAATCTGTTTGGGGTGTTGTTGAAGGTGAGGATTCATTGAGCCTATCCAATATTTTCATATAGAACCTTAAAGGAGACTTTGGGCCGGCCCGACCCAATGTTAGTGTGGGTGTTCTTGGCTATGCATTTTTAAACAGAAATCGGGCCTAGACCCAAACCTGGCCTACTTTGACTAGTCAAAGTATGGCTTGAGCCTACTTTGACTAGTCAAAGCCCGGTCTCCTCAATGCCCAAGTCTAACATTGAGAGTGAGAGAGAAAGAGAAAAATGAGGGAGGGGTGGGAAGAGATAGAGAGAGACTTCATGAAAAGATTTAGGATTCTCTTATCTTATCTTGACTTCCATTTTATACAAAAGGAAAAAAATGAAAAATATATATACATTTACTATAACACAACACCCATCTAGGGTGTCTTGATGAAAAGACCATGACGTAGAAGTCAAACGTCGCTTTTAAAAGGAATTAACATATGTCATCTCTAGTAATGATTATCATCTCTAATAGTTGTCCCTCCCTAAGTGAGTCTGGTTGTTTCCACAATAGAGAAGAAATTCAGGCACTTCGACAAGTGGACTTAGTTCAACCACTTCAGCGGGTTGGCTCAGTTCAACGTATTTATAAAATTGAATCAATATTGTTTGGCCTATATATATTTTTAAAATCTATGAGCTAGTCCTAATTTAAAAAAAAAGTTTTTTATTATTTATAATAATTATTATATTTAAGAAAAATAGAAAAAAATAGGGCTTCACCAAATTTTATATCTATGGAACATTTGTATAAATTTTAAAAACTTTGATATGGCACACATTTTATCATCAATATATTTCTATAATTAGGATCTCAATTTAAATTTATAAATATAATTTATATTAATTAATTTCCCTGATGATATATGATTTGAAATCATACTTTACTTAAAAATAATAATAAATTTATTATCTCAAGGAATTAAATAAAATTTTCAATCATTACAAAATATGTTTTTCTTATAAAGTTAGGCAAAAATAATACACAAATAATTGATAGTCGGCATCAAAAGACAAAACAAAGCCAGTTAGAATAGGCTTTTTGAGTTTGGCCCAATAACATATTGCCAAATCCTTACCAAACCCATTTGTTTGTTAGGGAAGTAATTTAGGCTAAAATAAAATCAAAGTTTGGGTTCGATATTATTAACTTTTGGGTCGGGTACAGGCCAACAACCCGACCCATTTAATCTTTGGAACGATTTAATTTGATCTATCAACTCAAATGTTTTGAATTTATCACCAAATTGGCTTGTCAATCGAAAGTTTCAACGATTAAAAATTGAAAGGATTGGTTATTATGGCGCATGTTAAATGACTTATATATTGGATACAATACGGGACAATCCGATTTGAGTCGGGCATTTCAAAAATCTTGATAAATTGGTTAGGTTCAGGCTATGTGACTTCGGGTTAGTTCGATTGAACCTAACTCTTTAAGCTAAATCGATAACTCAAGAGTGGACCCCACATAAATTTCTTAGGTTGGTAAGAGAATGCAATTCATCCAAATTTCCTTTGGGAAAAATAACAAAAAAAAATTGTAGCCAAATAGAATTGTGATTGTTGTTCGGAAAACAAAAAAATGTTACGAAATTGGTGAGGGGATTGTTTGGATTAGAGTTTTCAAAATACATGATTTAAAATAGAGAATTATTGAGCTGCATGCATTTTAAATATGGAGTTGTTTAATTTGATATAAATAAAATGAATAAAAATAATTTATAATTTATAATTGTTGAATCTGAATCGGTCCGAGAGTCACACAAAATGAAGGACAAGAGAAAGAAAGAGGGAAAGACAGAGACTAGAGTGCACATTAACGAAAACTAAATGGCTTCTTGATTAGCTCTTGCTGAAGAAATGACACTTATAATTAATGGTGATGGGAGTACAATGTGTATATTGCATTCTTAACCCCGCTTTAATTGGGGGTGTTATATGTTATATAAGTTATTTATATAAATAAGCCTAAGATTCATCTAAGTTATTACTCAGATGAATGAGATCAGTAGGCCTTAGTTTGGTAAGGCTCATTCGTCCGATTATGCTTAGTTGGGGTTGCCAATCGACTTATGGTGAACTTTAGTCATCTTAACCTGGCTTTGTCGACTTGAGTGTAAAAGTCGACCTCTCTAGCCCGCCTATTAACTATCGATCACAAGAAAACGAACTTTTATCTACAGGACGGAACTATCATATCAAAATATAGTTTGAAAATATACACTTAATTTTAGAACTCTTAATTTCAATTTTATTTTTTTTGTGATAAGATATGAATGCTATATAACTAAAATGTAAAAAAGTTAGATATATAAATACCTATTAATTGAGTGCATTTAAATCCTCTCTATTTTCGTGAACTTAATTCTTTTCCACTTGAATCTTTGTGTTGAATAAGGAGTTCATATGAATGAAAAAGCCTTCAAATTTTTAAAAATAAAACATTCTATATTGAAGGAAGTAATTCATTTAACATGATAAAAATTATATCATTTGTTTGTATTGTAATTACATTCCTTTTAATGTGACCACACACTGCTCATCGTAGCCACAGGATCTGTGGGCCCTACCCACTAAATCATAAGTGGGCCCATTTGTTTGTTGCTTTCAGGATTAAGCATGCTTGTGATGACTTATAACGCGGGCCCACGACAGCGAGGTTTGGGCAGTGGTCGGTCAGGCCGGCATATTAAACTCGCGAAGAAAATAATAATAAAAGTAATGTTTCGGCACCTAAAACTGCACCCAAAATATCACCCGGATGAATACAAATTGAAAGAGAAACTCAATTGAAAATTTTATACTTATTATTTTTCATTCAACTAAATAGCATGAGTTTTAAAATAATTACATTTGATTTACTTTACATTATACCAAAGGTGGGTTAATGGTTGTCGGCTAGGATCCGATCGGGCCACCGTTTGTGCAGTGACGTAGTCGAATCACAATCGTTGTTTGTATGTGCGAACCTTCCCCTAGGTTATTTCTGAGGGACACTTACCTTCGGAAATTTTAAATTTCTTTGTTTATACTTTCTACACAATACGTGCAAAATGATAACTAACATATTAATAGATCCGTTAACAATCAGATTTTGAGTCGAGCTGAGATCAGCTTGAAATCGGCTTGAATGAATTGAGCATTCCACGTTATATTCAATTTAGAATCAGCTTGAAATTGAATCAAGCTCAATCTTGCTCAAAATCAAACCAAGCTAGCTCAAATTGAGTTATTTGAATATGTTTTCAGCTTGAAATCAACTAATCTAACTCAAATCATAACTTCTTGGCTTAAACTGAGTTATTTGGATTTCTTATAGATCAAAATATTTTCAAAATCTACTTGTGACTCTTTATATTCAATTTTATTTAACATTAAATATATAATTTTTATAAATAAACAACAGCTCGAGCCGATCTTGAGCCAATTCAAACCCATCTATCTATGGCTCTAAGAAAATTCAATCTAAAATTTCAACTCATCTATTTCAATCCGTTCTAAAATCATGATCAATTAACAATCTTCGAGCTAAATTCATAACACTACACATATAACTATTATCTATATACATAAAAGCTTATGTATGAGATGTAACAACATAAGAATTGTGTGCTATACATTTAATTGCCCCCCAAAAAGTAAAGCATTTGATGATTTTGATCACACAAAGAATAATGACATGCTTTCCTATGAACTAGCACCATTTAAACTTAAGAAAAAAAAAATCTCTTACCGCTCACCACCGCGGTGCGGTCACCTTCCCCCTTCATTAAATCCCCACTATCCTCCTCCTTTCCCCTCCCACTCCCACTCCCTCCTCCTGCAGAACCACAGAGCAAAATCCAAAAAATGGCGAAAGACGTCGAAGTAATCGAATCCGGCTCCCAAAACGTGACCGAATACACCGCGAAAGACTACACCGATCCCCCTCCTTCCGCTCTCTTCGACTTCGAAGAACTCACCAAATGGTCCCTCTACCGCGCCACCATAGCCGAGTTCATCGCCACCTTCCTCTTCCTATACGTCACCATCCTGCGGCTCCACCCACCAATCCGACCCCCTCCTATCCCCCACCGCCGACTGCGACGGCGTCGGTATTCTCGGCATCGCCTGGGCTTTCGGCGGCATGATCTTCATCCTCGTCTACTGCACCGCCGGCATCTCCGGCGGCCATATTAACCCCGCCGTCACTTTCGGCCTCTTTCTGGCTCGCAAAGTTTCGCTTTTTAGGGCTTTGCTCTACATGGTGGCGCAGTGCCTCGGAGCCATATGTGGGGCGGGGTTAGCTAAGGGGTTTCAGAGAGCTTATTATGAGCGGTATGGCGGCGGAGCGAATGTGGTGGCGGATGGGTATTCCAAAGGTACGGCCTTGGGGGCGGAGATCGTCGGAACTTTCGTTCTCGTTTATACCGTCTTCTCCGCCACCGATCCCAAACGGAACGCACGTGATTCGCACGTGCCGGTTAGTTTTCTGCTTCCCTCCTTTCTTTTTATTCTACTGTTTTTTTTTCTCTGAATCAACAATTTGTATTTTCATAAATTAAAAGTTTATTTTCAGGGGCGTTTACATACATATAGCAAAGATGGGAAAATAGCAGCTTTGCGTACATCAGGGGTTATTCAGGGGGTACAATGGGGTTATATCTGGGTTATACCCCCTTGTAACCTCCGGTATAACCCGAATATAACTCCTCTGTACCCCCAGAATAACCTCTGATGTACGCAGCGCTGCGTACATCTTATGTACGCAAATATCCCTGGCAAAGATGGCGGTGTAGTGTGATGCTGCACAATGTTTGTTAAAATTATGTTTTGTCTGCATTGTTTGTATTTTTCTCATCATATCTGACTACCTGCGGTGGCTGCTAGAAAACTACGAATTAAATTTTCTTTTTCAATAGTCATTGTAATTTTTTTGAATAGTTTTTATATCCATGCTATTTATATATTATCACTTAAAAAAATCACATGTATATACATAAATATTATTCGATAAATATGTAAAATTTCCTTTATTTTAAAAAAAAATTATTATAATTAACTACAGGAAATTTCAAGCATTTTTTAGATTATTTTGTTTATAATTATGAATTTATTTTCATATATGAGTTCACTTATAGTGGAAGATAATTATTCTTCATAGTTTAACTTATTCAAAATTAAATATGCAATCAGTTGATATGGATTATCAATTGCGTATACCTATATATAATTATATATATGTATAAAGCTTGGGTGCTTGCGATGTAAATAAATAGAAATTGGGGGTTATGTATGTAAATACCCCAGAAAGCAACCGCTGATTGTGATTTATTTTTTTATATAATTTAATATATGAGTTTAGTCCAATTATGCATTTATAAGATTATTATAAATAAAATAATTACCAATTTGTCTTTAGAAATTTAAGTATTTATAAGATTATTATTCAACCCAATTAATATAATAAATTATGCATATCAAAATAAATTAATCTTTTAGACCAAATTTAACAAAGTAAGGAAGCGTAAAATCTGTTATTTACGAGGATTTTAGTGAAAGAAAAAAAAAATCAGGGTACTAAATAAATGGCAACTTGACTGGGTTGTTTTGCAATTACAAATTTACAATTCATATTTTGTTAATTAAAAATCATATAATATTTATGGAAAATGTAAAATTCAATATTAATCCTGACATTTTTGCAATTTTTTTTTTATATAGGTGTTGGCACCGTTACCTATTGGTTTTGCAGTGTTCATGGTACATTTGGCGACCATTCACATCACTGGTACAGGAATCAATCCAGCCAGAAGCTTCGGAGCTGCTGTTATCTACAACAAAAGCAAAGCTTGGGATGATCAGGTGACATTTCAATATGCTTATTTATGGTGAAGCTCTGTTTGATGCATCAATAATTGTTTGTAAAAATAGTTGGTAGAATTGTAAAAAAAAAAATTCAATTTTTTGAAAGTTAGGGTGGGTATTATGAACATTTTTTCGCTTTGAAAAAGAAGAATAACAACTTCCTTCTATATTCTAACCACCAAACTCTGAGCATGACAAGTCTAGTTATGAAAAAAATTATATTTTGTTTGACAATTCTACAAAAATTTATGGCCAAACAGAAATATGACAGCAGCGTGTCAAACAACGTTACAAAAAGTCAAAAGGGGCAATTACATGCAGACCACCCGAAAATTGATATTTACAAATCAACCACCCAATAAAATATCAAAATTCATGGTAAAGCCCCAACCCATATTTTTCATTTTTATCATACTCTCAATTGTTTGATCGTGGCAGCACGTGTAAATACGTATGTTTGGCAGTTCAAAAAAATAACCTGGGTGGGTGCTTAATTTATAAATAGCAATGTTATGTGAAAATTAGAATTTAGGTGTGATATGTAAATACATAAAAAACTGGATGCACTGGATGCTATATGCAAATTTCAGCAAATTTCAAAAAAAAAAAAATCAAGAATGAAGATGCTTTGACCACCCATTATGAAATTGGAAGCTTTTGTCTTCTCTGTTGCAGTGGATTTTCTGGGTGGGACCACTTGTAGGAGCAGCAGCTGCTGCAATTTATCACCAGTATGTACTCAGAGCTGCAGCTGTCAAAGCTCTTGGATCCTTCAGGAGCAATGCATGATTACAGTTTCTGATGAAAATAAAGAGAGGGGTTGCTTTGAAAGATGAACTAAAAGAAGGGGGTTAAAAGCTAAAAGCAATGAAAAAGCTTAGAACTGTAGATAAAGCAGGGAAGGGGGGGAAGGAAGAGTCTATGATGGGATGGGGAGTCTTCTGCTTTGGTTTATTCTCTCTTTCATGTGCTTTGAGTGTAGTATAGCTGCTTTGATTATGTCTATATGTACGTGTTTCTGCTTTAATGTCATCTTTTTAAGACTTATTAAGCTTCCATTTTTATGAGTTAGTTTAATTCTGCTGTTTCAATGCAGATTTTTCTTTTCTTATTTTAAGCTTTTCTCTTTGTTATTGAAGTGGTGTGTATTTCTTTAAAATTTATGAATAAAGGGTGGTTTATGTGAGTTTGGGATAACTATTTCATAATCTTTTTATATGGATAGTTGTCATGGTTTGGACTTGCAACAATATTATTATTGTGTTTCAGAAAGTTTTGCTGCAAAGATTCTTCACAGTAAAATTCACTTTGTATTATAGCTGTAAAAAACAAAAAGGAAACTGATGACTTTGTTTTTTAAAAGGAAAAAAGCTTTATTAATGCCCAGCAACATCTTCTAAAACCTCTTTATTTTTTCACAATAATTACACAACTAATATTAGAAGCAGTTGATATCAACCAATGAAGGCCTAATATGTAACTACTCTCTTAGCTTCAATTGATGAATTTTTGTTTTCAATTATCATTGCTCTGTTGTAGATTCAACTTTTGTCAAGCAGAGGTAGACCTAGGCTGACTTGGGCATATTGTATAAAAAATGACCTTAATTTTTTAGAATTAAATGAAAATATGACACTAAATAAGACATAATGGAGAAAAAGGATTCATGTAACTAACCCCACTTAGTGGGATAAAGGTTTTGTTGTTGTTGTTGTTGTTGTTGTGTTGCTATTATTTGGTAAAGTTTAGGGGTGAAACATAAAATCTATGTAAAGCAGATTTGATCCCAAGTGCCAACAACTACTCGATTTTAACAAGTGAATTGGCATCCAATTTAAATTATAGGGGTGGGGCAATGGCAATAACTTTTAAAATTTTTATCAACCAAATTAGCTGACAATGTACAGTACAATTTACATGTAAGAGGCTTCAATTTTAAAATCTTGGCAACAATTTTGAAAGTTCTTTACCGACCAAAACTTTTAAATTTTGATGCAAGGGTGATTCAATTTTGTGATTTTGACAAATTTGTTCTTTAACAGACAGATTAATGGACAGCCATCTCAAAACTTTTTACAAATTTGACGTGATAGAGTTATAATTCTTAGACCTTGACAATAACTTCTAAAGTATTTTACCAAGTTAGCTAGCATACAACAACAACAACAACAACAACAAAGCCTTAATCCCACTATGTGGGGTCGGCTACATGAATCCTTTTTCTCCATTGCGTCCTATTTAGTGTCATATTTTCATTTAGTTCTAGTAAATTAAGATCATTTTTAATACAATAAGCCCAAGTCTTCCTAGGTCTACCTCTACTTTTCTTAACACAAGTCAAATTTAAAACATCTACTCTCCTAATCGGATCATCTAATGGTCGACGTTTAATATGACCAAACCATCTAAGACGACTTTCTCTAATTTTGTCTGTCACAGGAGCTACACCAACCCTATCACGAATATATTCATTCCGCATTTTGTCTCTAAGTGTAAAGCCACTCATCCACCTAATCATTGTCATCTCGGCAACACTTAACTTATTATTATGCTTCTCTTTTAAAGGCCAACATTCAGCGCCTTTAAAAGTCGCACACTGCCGTTGCCGGTCCCAAGCCCGGATGAGAAAAGTGGAGGGTTGCGTTAGGTAGTCGACAACCAGCGTAAAATTTGTCGAAAAAATCATGACCAAGTTAGCTAGCATGCACTTGAAAAATCTTTCACCTTTTTTGGATATATACGCCCTTAAAAATTTGAAATTCTTCTCAAATCTACATGCCACTTCCCCTGGCCTAGTTGATTGAGAGTTTTGACCATAATTATGAGATTAAAAGTTAAGGAATCAACACAACATGTATGCATATATTTATACTCTCAAACACTCCTTTAAAAAAAGGGGGCATTTACATATTTACCACATAATTCTCATGTATTTACATATCCAACATCCAAATTTTCATATTAGCATGCCTAACAAGTGAAATACACCTTTTGCTGCATAATATGATACCAAAATGTTAAAAATGTAAATATCAGGCTTTAGGTGGAGTTAGATATGTAAATGCAAAAGACTTGTGTGACATCTATGTAAATATTCTAAAAAGGGGGAACATTCATGAATCTCTCTGAAAAAAAAAATCATATGCTATTTTAAAGACATGAATTAGGCGACTAAATAAACCTATTCTACAAATATAATGCCAACCATGTATCTCTAACCACCAAAGTAAGGGGGGGGGGGGGGGGGGGAAAGCTGGCAACCATATTATGGTCATTAAGTACTAAAAAGCAGTCATTGTCTTAATTAAATACTTGAAAACGTCAGCACAAGAACAGATGTGGCGTTGAACAGAATAAAAATTATGGATACAGACAAAATGAATCTAGGGTTAGGTTAATGATCAGCTTGGATATGTTAATTTAAAGCAAAGTGCTCAATAATTACAGTGCCGAAATGTATATTAAATGCAGGCATATGAGGTCACCCATGCTTATCTTTCTGTTTTCTTAAAGCAGTACTTGATTTTGAATATTTATAGTGGTTAGCTTTGTCCTCACCATGTGCTTACAGTTTAAGCTAGTAGATAAATTAGGTGTGGAGAACCATCTAGGGAAATAAAGTCACATCAATTTCATATCTTTTTTTCTATAAAATCTGGCAAGATCACTTTTGATGCACCAAAAAAACAGGTAAAAATGATATTAAAATCAAGATAATTTATTCAACTATCAAGCTGAAGCATAAAGGAGATAAAGTTTAGTGATGAGTTAAAAGTCTTATTTATTTCATGAAATAATATTTTTAATGAATATTATAATTGAATGCTGAGAATAATTCCTATGAATGGGTAAAGAATAGGAGATTCTGTATGTCTTTAATTGTAATTTGTTGACCTTTCCACGACTTGTTCCATGTTAGCACATGGGATCTACTTGTCTGATTTGAAAATTATAGTCAGTGATGGTTAGTTTAATTGATGAAAATATTAGAAATTATTGTAAGGTTTTTAGAGATTAAATCTCCTAAGCGTCAAACAAAGAATCTGTCAGAAATAGCTTCTACTGCTGCACCAATTAATCAATATGATATAGCTTATATCTCATACTTGCTAAACAATATTAAATCCAAAGAGATTTAGTTTATCATCCTTAATCGCCTAAAGAAGGATTACTGCCTCTAAAAGTGGGGATTTTAAGTGTGTACATATTAATTTTCATCTTTTTTTGGAATAGATAGCTATTTGATGATGATGAACCGGCACTAAATAGGGGTTTGATATATGCCGAACTGAAGCTCGAATTGCCTATTAAATGGTGAGTCTAAGATCAAAGAATGCGTTTGAACACAACTCGCAACGTCAGGTCATGAGCTCAAGCCAAATAAAAAGTTGTTATTGAAGCATGTTTATCATGTTTATCAGGTGTGAAACCAACTTTATTTTTTAAGATGGGCAAAATTACCAAATATTAAAATTTTGAAGTATTGGTTAAAAAATATATATTGAGTGGGGGCAAAATTACTATATTATCTAAACTACATAGGAAGAAATTATTAAATTTTACTACTTATATAGAAAAATCACAAATTTTAGGATCAACATTGCTCACCCTAGATATAACTCGGTTCCACCCTTCAAACTCATCGGAGAAGAAAGACATGGATGTCACCAAATGCCAAGGAAGAAAAGCTCATTTAGGGTCAGTTTGGGGCAGCTGCAGCTTATCATGATAATCTGGTAATAAACAGCTGATCCGGATAATCTGACTGTTTGTTTGGTTTGTGTGTTTTGAGAATAACTAATTCTGAATAAATGATCAAACTGCCCCTGTTTTGGATAAGCTGCAACTGTTTGGTTTGTGTGTTTTATAGACAGCTTATTTGAAATTTTTTTTACAAATTTTTAATAACATTCTTAATGCAATCATGAAAGGGAGAATGAAAAGATTGAAGAACATGAAAATATTTCAGATTACATCAAAAATGCACAATTACCTAAATATATATGAAATACACCGTAACTCTACACCGTAACTCACTAGTAGTATGTACTATAATGAGACCCAACAAAGAAGAAAAAATAACATGTCAAAATTACAAGGAAAAAAATAATGATATTGACTTTAACATGTAGCAGCATATCGCGGCCCATTGTGCGCGGCTATATATAAATGCCCAGCTCTTTAAAGCCTCTTCAGTTTATATATTCTGCAGCTCTAGAAGAGGGACAAGATCAGAATCATTACAGCATACAAGATCCAACAGGAATTGCACAGATTTCCACACAAGCATGCAAATAATCTCCAAATATAACTGAAGATCTATAAATATAACTGTAGCTTTTTAATATATAACTGCAGCTCTAACACATACTCCATAAGCATTTAAAAATTTATTGTTTCAGAAATACAATAAAAAAAAATTTCAGAAATGTACATACACAGCACCCAATTCTCATGCATTTACTAATCTCACACCCAAACTTCCATTTTTACAAAACCAGCACCCTGCACATGGAAAAAAATGTGAATTTTACAATAATAATTCACTGCTTCCTCTGTAAATTCTCCTAAAACTTTACAGAGATGAAACACTAAACTATCAAGGCAACAATGCAATATCAAACCAACCACATTCAGACAATTCCAAGTCATACGTATTGCATCCGACAAACAAAAGGGTAGGACTAAATCATGGAAATAAATGTATGAATCAGCCACATTCACCACCCTTTTTAACATTCAGCAAAGAAAATGAAAAGATATTATAGAAAAACAAAATTCTATAGTTGAGTTCAATTAGGAGTCGCATAAAGCTTCTGTGATATGCCGTCTAATGAGTTTATTCTCATTTGATAAATGGTCATAACAAAAAAATAGCAGAAAGAGGGGGAAGAATAAAAATGTATTCGGGCTTTACATAACAACTTTCAAATTTCTTCAAATTTCTGCATAGTAAACTGCATAATAACCGCACAGTAAAGCCAATAAGCCCCAAAACATTGGTTCATCTTATGTAACAACCGCACTGTAAATCCCAAAAGCATATGTAACAGCCGCACTGTAAATCCCAAAAACATTGGTTCATCGTATGTAACAACCGCACTGTTAAATCCCAAAACATTTAGCATATGTAACAACCGCACAGTCAATCCCAACAACCCCAAAACAATGTTTCATTGTTTTAAC